ATCTTCAGAACTACTTTTTCTCCGGTAAGCTACGGGCGATTTCTCAGAGCAGGAGGCTCGTTGAGAGTAGTGACACCGTCGCATCAGAGCTACAGATGGTCAGCGTTTCACACAACTTCATGTCCAAAAACCTGAACTATCACTTTAATAAACATCCTGCCTATGGGTTCCCACAGACGGAGTTAAACCACTTCTGTGTACATCTACATTATACTGTTATAAACCATTTATTAAATGTTGATATGCTGCTCATAAATACATCACATTGAAATAAAATGATAACAAATACGCCGTCTCTTTCAAATATATCTGCCTTTACTTTATTCATGTTCTGTACAGTTTCTCATTCTCCACAGTCTCTATCATACTATATGACAATAATGGCTATCATTTACTACAAAAGGTTGCATAAATAATTTAAATGTGGAAATAAAAAATAAATATGCAGTTCATTCTTTATAACAGTCCTTCTTTTGTGTCTGCAGGAAACAACCCGGCCCCTCCCTGCGTCTCTTTAAACACCCCATCAGGTGAGGGCGCCGCTGCAGTGGAACCACACAGGTATGATATGTACAATCACAGCTCTCAGCGTACAGCCCAGCCGCCACGGGAAATGTTGGCACTGTACGTTTCTGCAATCCACATGTTACATTTGTACGTTTTATATGTATCGTATCAACATCTCTGACGTAGCATATGAGATGACTTTGTCATTGGTAGGTGGAGGGGATGGAGGCGAGATGCAGACAACCGTTTTAGACCAACAAACATGAGACAGATTGTGTTTTATTGAGACTTTGCTGTGTTTCCAGCTGCTTTTTAGCCACCAAACATGTTTTTAACAATCTGTTGCTGTTTTTTCATAGTGCCATGGAAAGCAGCTTTTTTTTAGTGTGACATTGCTGCATTTCTAGTCGGGATTGTGCTACGAAAAACGGTTGTTTTTTTTTCCAAAACATCGCCGCAGCTCTTGCCAGGATAGAGCCACAAAATGCGCAAGTTTTTTACCGAGACACTGCTGCATTTCAAGCATGTATAGTGCCACAGAAAGTGGTTCTTTATTACCGAGAAATTCACGCGTTCCCTGCTGGGACAGTGCTACCGAAGCGGCTGTTTTTTACCGAGATTTCACGGTTTACTGCTAAGATCCTGCCACAAAAAGCAGCTGTTTTATACCATGACATCCCTGCATTTCTAGCCAGGATCGTGCCACAAAAAACAGTTGGTTTGTTAGCAAGAAATCCCCACATTTCCTGCTGGAATTGTGCCACAAAAAGCGGAAGTTCTTTACCGAGTCATCGCTGTGTCTGGAGCAGAGATAGTGGCAAAAAAAGAGGTTGTCTTTTTACCGAGACACTGCTGCATTTCAAGCGTGGATAGTGCCACGGAAAGGGGTTGTTTATTACCGAGAAATTGCCGCATTACCTGCTGGGACAGTGCTACCAAAGCGGCTGTTTTTTACCGACATTTCACGGTTTACTGTTAAGATCCTGCCACAAAAAGCAGTTGTTTTATACCATGACATCCCTACATTTCTAGCCAGGATCGTGCCACAAAAACAGTTGAAGAAATCCCCACATTTCCTGCTGGAATTGTGCCACAAAAAGGGGGTATTTCTTACCAAAACATCACCACAGTTCTTGCCAGGATAGAGCCACAAAAAGCAAAAGTTTTTTTACTTAGACATTGCTGCATTTCTACCTGGGACAATGAAAAAAAATCACTTGTTTTTTATCGGGTCATCACTGCGTTTCCTGCCAAGATAGCGGCATGAAAAGTGGTTGTTTTTTAACCATGACATCGCTGCATTTCAAGTTGGGATGGTGCAACAAAAAACATTTGTTTCACCAAGTTTCCTGCAAAGATAGCACGACCAAAGCAGTTGTTTATTACGGAGACATCACAGCGTTTCCTACTGGGATAGTGCCACAAAATGCGGTTGTCATCGCTGTGTTTCTAGCCGGGATAGTGCCATGAGAAATGGTTGTGTTTTACCATTACATCACTGCATTTCCAGTGGGGATAGTGCTACGAAAATTGGTTGTTTTTTACCGAAACATTGCTGCCTTCTCTGCCAGGATTGTGGTATTTTAAGCCGAAACATGATCTTCTCCATAACCAAGGTGTTTTTGTGCCTAAATATAACCACACTTTGACCACAGCGTTCTTGAAGACACGTAAAGTTTCAACATATCCTCTACATAATAACGTACAAATGTGTAACGTGTCCATGGTTTGCAGAAACATACTATGCCAACATTTGTTCAGGCCACTGGGTTGCAGCTTCCACGACAAACCTCTTCCAGTTGCTATTTCAAATCATACAATCGGGAAAAGATGCAAACATTGTCAGTACAGTTTAGACAACCAAAAACAATAATCAGGAAGCAATATGAGCAGAAAAAACGAGGGACAATATGCGGAAACATCGTGGGTATTCTTCATGAAGTATACAGTCCCATAGCTGAGGAAGGAGGTTGTCTTGTCTGCGGCGGGGCCAGATTCAGTCAATACAATGATAAAAACTGTTTCCATTATGTTATTATTATTCCTATGTTTCCTGTTTGAGCTATTTACAGACTGGGAGCAGAGAGGGAGTGGAAGTGTCTCAAACACAACGGATGGATTCTGGCAGTGGATGGTTGATCGCTGCTCTGTTTGGCCCGTTACAAAAGAATTCCGGTGTGGGCGTGCTGGAGGAACGCTTTGCCCCTAGGTAACAACACAACCACGCTCAATTTTCTGATGCCTCCTACACACATGTGCACTTTTTTTCTGTCCAGCAAACAGGAACTGTTTAGGGGAAATGGCTTTTTATGACTCAAATAGCACAGGAATGAGCTCATTTAGTAATTAAGAGGAGTCACAGGAATGTCCAGTGCCCCCGTGGTGTCAAAACTGCTTCTCCGCTCCATTTCTCTGTCTCTCCTGACTCTTTGTATCTAGTCGTGGGAACTGCTGTAACTGACAGGCCTGGTTGGGGCTGCAGCAGCGTGGGGAATGCTGTGGGGCTGTCCTGATGAGTGAGGCCTTAAGTGGGCTGTCAGAGAGCTGCCTGGACCGCCACGCAGGCCAGGGCCCTCTCAAAACCCTGTCAACATCCCACCGTCAGAGCCCCCAGAGCTGCCACCATCTCCTCCACACACACACACACACAGCCAAAAGGAGATGGATTACAACCACTCTGAAGCGAAGATACACCTTTTCAGCTTTAAACAGGGGCCGTGCTGTGGCGTAGCTCTGCATCCGCTGGATGTTTGTACAGATGGGCTCGAAGCCTCGGGGAGGTCTTCTCATTAAATGAAATCTGTTTGCGTGGAGGACGAGCCCTGGGAGGTTTGGAGCTGCTGGGGTGATCAGATACTTGTTTCATATGATCCAACACGGTGCTACATCTCCTGACCAGTCACAGTTGTGGCGAGCCCCCGGCGCTGACTCATTCTGTCATGCAAATAAGCAGCAACGTTCACAAATATGCTGACAAGAGGCTGAAAAAGAAAAGACTGATGACTTAAAACCAGCCCAGCAATTAGCTTATGCATTCGCTCTCTTTGAAATTTCTTTTGCATCTCCTCCCTATCTGGAGGAGATATGTTGTGTTGTGTAACGTGTGTGTGTGAGTGTGCTTTGGTGTTTGTCCTTCTGATGCTGGCGAGGAGCATCAGTACGAGTTGCCCGTCAGTGTCGGCGTGTTGTTCTTGCTCCGGTCCTGAGACAAACGACTGTGCTTCTTGTTGCGTTGCGTCTTGGGGACCTCCTTGGCCTCTGATTGGTTGTGGTGGGGCCTGAAGCGCTTGCACTTGCAGGAGGTGACCACGCGGATTTTGTAAGTCCGAGTGTTGCCATTGGGACACTGCAGCTGGACCCTCCTTGTCCGGGAGTGGGCTGGGATGCAGCGGTAGTCCGAAGCGTTGCCCCTCCACCACTTGCCGCGGCCGATGGAGTTCGGCATGAGGTGCGCCGGCATGCACTGGCCCGAACACACCAGCTCCTTCACAGGCTTGGCACTGCGGCAAGACCCGTCGGTGATGTAACGGGTGGAGCGCAGCTCCCGACAGCTCAGCTCCGAGGCACCTGGGTTGAAGAGCAGAATATCACAGTTACACTCGTGGCCTCAGCCCAAAACAAACACTTTGAAGTGCGGCACGCTGGAGTGGACATTCTGCAGGTTAACTGCCTCGACGCTGCAGCTGTGTCTGATTCCAGTATGTGCAAATTTCTCTGATTCTGTTTATCTCAACATGAACTCTCCAATTGTGGGTGAAAACAACACAAGCCAGAGACAAACGGAGCAGGCAGCAGCGTTTCACTCTGATCCTCACATGTTATGAGACACAAAAGTGCAGCCGAAAAATGCACTTTCACAAATAACTTAACAATGTGTGCATTTAGGAGATCATATCAGAGTTTCTGAATTTGATTCATGGTGCGATCATTAGCTGACGATGGGGCTTGACAAAGAGATCCAGCTGGCAGCAATCAGCTGATAGCAAATCCAGACCAGAGGGCCATTAAACAGCTCAATCAAACCTAATGGAGGTTTGGGCTGGAAGGAAAAGCTGGCATTCAGCGCCGGCCCTCAGGAAATGTATGTGGTGATGGAGGAGTAAATAGCTGTCTGGTTATTTTAACGCAACCGTACAGTTCTGAACAAACTGGACATCTGCCAGACTGATTTGAGACGACGTGCTCGGCCTGTAATCCAACACTTCAGCCGCAGCTTTTTAACAGCCGCACGCATGAGTTATTGTCCTGTGTTTTTTTACAAGCAGTGTGTAAAAAAGGGGCAAAGGAACTGTCGGTTAAGAAATGATACACTCTGTGAGGGATCTGTTTTCCTCTGTGGCTTTCTTTGCAAAAAAGGGCTGAACAAAGGATTTATGTGAGGTGACTTCCTTTTTTTTCTCCTCCCCATGAGAACCTGATCTTGTGTTATTCTGTGGCCGCCGCCGAAGGGACCACAATGCCTACAGCGCGCACTGGGCAGCGGTTTGCACCAATTACCAGCAGTGAAGTCAGGTTGTCTTGTTCAACGAGTGTTTGTTGTAATCCAGTCTCGCTGTGTCTTTTCCACTACATTTCCTGTTCTGCTCTCCACTGTCAGCCTGAAAAAGTCATTACTAATGATGGTGGCCTGCACGCTAGACTACTGTACAGTTGCGTGAGCTGTGTTGCTCCCTCGGCGGCGAGAGACGAGCCCTGGGAGAGGGCTGGAGGGAAGCCAGGCAGTGGTCAAAGCCTCTGCTGTGACCCCCACAGGGAGGACGAGCAGGACGTCCCGGGACAAAAGCTGAGAGATGGATGAAGAGAATAATCCGGGAGATTTCGTCTCCCTGTGTGAACCTCAACACATACGCTGCTTATCCATATGAAAACAAGAGGACGTGCTTTTCCACTCTCATTTTTTTTTTGGGAGACTTTTAGAGAATAAAATTATCATGATGTTGTTTAACGTGTGGATTTGTGGACACAAACCAGCCACACTAACACATCCTGACTCGCTGATTCCTCCTTTTGTCAGCTGCTCCTCTAATTCAACCAATCATCTCCTCCTCCTCTGAGTTCTCGTGATTAAATGAAATCTGTGAAAATATCGCACCACCCATGTTGAATCCATGAGCGTGAGATTGCTCTACACGCACCGCTCGATCAGAACCTACACAGGCCACAGGTGGGAATCATTCTCAGAAGGCAGTGTTGCATTTAAAAAGCAATTTCTAACCCCCCCCCCCCCCCCCCCCCCCCCTGTCAAATAAATTAAAAAACAAATTACACCAAACCAACCCACCCCCCCCCCCCCCCCCCCCCCCCCCCCCCCCCCCCCCCCCCCCCCCCCCCCCCCCACACTCCAAAAAAAAAAAAAAAGATATCCCCTGAAGAACAAACTGCAGGGTTTGGTGGACATGTTGATGCAATCAAATGGTTATAGCGTAAGTAGAGCTTGACTAATAGTATAAAGAGAGGAGGAAATAACCTGGAAGACAACGTGAAAAGAGCCCCGATGTCTCTGTGAACGCTCCACTTCAGATTGTGTACGGGAAGGAACCACAAGAATGTGCCGCTCTCGCCACCCTCGACTCTGGCAGCGGATTAAGCAAGAAAACACACTTCCCACACACAAGAGCTGCTCTTAATCAGGGAATCAGTGTGAGGAGAAAGTCAAACGAGAAGGCGGGTTGTCTTTGTGCAAGTGATTCTTTTTCATTACAAGGAACTATAATGGGTAAAACTACATTCTCCTACTCTGATCTAGAATTAGAAACACTTATATCCATCATGAATTTAAGGGCATCATAAAGAATATGGTGACAGAGACAAGTGCCACCATGTTTGAATAGCTGTTGTTTTATTGTGGATTTGTCTTATATTGTATTTGTTGCATTTTAAATGTAATTTGATTGGCTGCTACCTCGGCCAGGTGTCTCATGTAAAAGATTTTACGTCTCAATGGGACTGTTTAAATAAAGGTGAAATAAATAAATAAAAAAGATTAAATTCTTGAAATGCCAATCAGGTGTAATGAAACCATTTTGACCAAAAAATACAAAATTCAGTGACAGGAAAACCTGTCAAATTTATTATTTAGTTTTATTATCAATTTTTTTTTTTTTTTTGACAAAATTTAGATTTTTATTTTATTTTTTTTTTTTTGCAAGATCAACATAACAGTCTGAACCCCAAGTCCAACAAATACTGACTTTTTTAAATTTAAAACAGAAAATATATTTTTAATAAAATAAAATGAAAAAATTACAACAATTGATTATAATAGCATAATAATGATAATAAATTAATAATACTACTAATATTAATAATTTAAAAATCATTTTTAACGCTCTCGCGCTTTTGTGCACGTCGCTTGCTACGGGGTGACACGCTTGCTACTCACTTCTACGCACAAGGCCTCAAGTTAAGGGTCAAATAAAATAAATAAAATATAAAAAAATAATATAAATATTACACCGGCTTTATTTTCCTTATAAGCTAGCACAAACGTGTCACCTGTATTTTAATTTTTATATATAATAAACTTGAGCGCTTACTGTAGGAGACAGTGTTGGCCGTCCTGCCGCCGTTCTTCGCCCTGTTGTTCATACTGTTGCTGTTGTTGTTGTTGTTGTTGTTGTTGTTGTTGCCGCCGTTAGACGCCGGTAGTACCGTCTCGTGAGGTGTCCGAGTATTCTCCCTGTACTCCGGTAAGATCTCCGTGCCCCCGTTCTTTAGTACCCTCCAGCCCCTGACGGTGGTGCAGCATCCCTGGAGTAGCAGCAGCACCGAGCTGGAGACGAGCAGCGCCACAGACACCTGCATGCTGTCGGTCCGTGTGTGTGTGTGTGTGTCCGCGTGGAAATGAAGTCAGAGACGCGCGAGGAGGGTTAGAAGGATTCACGCGATAAGGAGACAGAGACAGAGATGCCCGCCTGGATACGTTGGTGAAGTCCTCCCTCTGTGCACGAGGCGCACGCGGTATTTAAGGCTCCGCGAGTTCCCGTCAAAGATGATAATTAAGCTCTTACACGGAGTGGGCGGGGCCACGGCTTCATTCAGAAAGCACGAGGGGAGAGGAGTGGGATCGCGCGCAAGGAGAGGAGGGGGAGAGGAGAGAGGACAGGAGTAAGGGGAGGAGGAGAAAATAAAGGAAAGGAGGAAAAAAGAGGAGAGGGAGAGGAGGAGAGAATAAAGGAGAGGAGGGGGAGAAGAGAGAGAAGAGGAGAAAGGAGAGGAGGAGAATAGAGAGGAGAGGAGGAGAAAAAAAAGCAGAGAAGGAGAAGGAAGGAGAGGGAGAGGAGAAGAGTAAAGAGAGGGAGGAAAGTGGAGGATAGGAGGAGAAAATAAAGGAGAGGAGAGGAAGAGAAGAGTTAGGAGAGGAGGAGAAAATAAGGGAGAGGAGTGGGAGAGGAGAGGAAGAGAAGAGTTAGGAGAGGAGGAGAAAATAAGGGAGAGGAGTGGGAGAGGAGAGGAAGAGAAGAGTTAGGAGAGGAGGAGAAAATAAGGGAGAGGAGTGGGAGAGGAGAGGAAGAGAAGAGGAGAAGAGGAGAAAATAAGAGAGAGGAGGAGACAAAAAGGAGAGAAGGAGAAGGGAGGAGAGGGAGAGGAGAAGAGTAAGGAGAGGGAGGAAAGTGGAGGATAGGAGGAGAAAATAAAGGAGAGGAGTGGGTGAGGAGAGGAAGAGAAGAGTTAGCAGAGGAGGAGAAAATAAAGGAGAGGAGTGGGAGAGGAGAGGAAGAAAAGAGTTGGGAGAAGAGGAGAAAATAAGGGAGAGACGAGAGGAGGGGGAGAGGAGGGGAGTAAAGAGAGGGAGGAAAGTGGAGGAGAGGAGGAGAAAATAAAGGAGAGGAGTGGGAGAGGAGAGGAAGAGAATAGTTAGGAGAGGAGGAGAAAATAAGGGAGAGGAGTGGGAGAGGAGAGGAAGAGAAGAGTTAGGAGAAGAGGAGAAAATAAGAGAGAGGAGGAGACAAAAAGGAGAGAAGGAGAAGGGAGGAGAGGGAGAGGAGAAGAGTAAGGAGAGGGAGGAAAGTGGAGGATAGGAGGAGAAAATAAAGGAGAGGAGTGGGTGAGGAGAGGAAGAGAAGAGAAGAGTTAGGAGAAGAGGAGAAAATAAGGGAGAGAAGAGAGGAGGGGGAGAGGAGGAGAAAATAAGAGAGGAGACAAAAAGGAGAGAGGGGAGAAGAGGGAGAGGAGAAGAGTAAGGAGAGGGAGGAAAGTAGAGGATAGGAGGAGAAAATAAAGAAGAGAAGTGGGAGAGGAGAGGAAGAAAAGAGTTAGGAGAGGAGGAGAAAATAAGGGAGAGACGAGAGGAGGGGGAGAGGAGGAGAAGATAAAGGAGAGGAGGGGGAGAGGAGTATGGGGAGAAGGAGAAAATAAAGGAGAGAAGAAAATAAAGGGGAGAAGGAGAAGAGAGGAGAGGAGAGGGAGCGTGCACAAGGAGAGGAGGAGGAGAGGAGGAGAAAATATAGGAGGAGAGGGAAAAAGACGAGGAGAAAAGAGAGAAGAGGAAGATAGAGGTGGGGGGAAGAGAGGAGAGGAGGGGGAGAGGAGTAAGGAGAGGAGGAGAAAATAAAGGAAAGGGGGAAAAAGAGGAGAGGAGAAAAGACAGAAGAGGAAGATAGAGGTGAGGAGGAAAGAGAGGGGAGGGAGGAAAGTAAGGAGAGAAGGAGACTATAAAGGAGAGGAGGAAAAAAGAAGAAAGGAGAGAAGAGAGGATGAGAGAAAGTAGAGGAGGGGGGAACAAGAGGAGATGAGGAGAAAAGGAGGGGGAGAGGACAAAATAGGGGAGGAGGAAAGGATGAGAAGAAAAGAAAGGAATGGAAGAAATTGAGGAGAGGAGGAGAAAAGAGAGGAAGGGCAGAAAGTAGAGGAGAGGAAGATAAAAGTAAAACAGAGGAAGAGAAAAATAGGAGAGGAGAAAAGAGAGGGGGCAAAATAGGGAAGGAGGAAATGATAAAAGAGGAGGGGGAGAAAGAGAGGATAGGAGAGGAAGATAGGGGGAAGGAGGAAGGGAAAGGAGAAAAAAGAAAGGAGATGAGGAGAAAAGAGAGGGAGAGGACAAAATAGAGGAGGAAAGGATGAGAAGACAAGAAAGGAAGGGGAGAAAGTAGAGGAGAGAAGGATTGAGGTGAGGGGGAAAGAGAGGAGGGGGAATGAGAAAATAGAGGAGAGGAGAAAGAGTGGAAGGGGAGAAGGTGAGGGAGAAAGAAATTAAGAGTCGTGGCGGAGAGAAAGATGAAAAATGAGGAAGAGAAAAAGGAGAAAAGAGGAATGGAAGAAAAAGATGAGGAGAGAAAAACAGAAAATAGAGGAGGAGGAGGAGAGAAGGGAGAGGTGAAAGAGAGGAGAGGAAGATAGAGGTGAGAGGGAAAGAGGAGGAGAGGACGGAATTGAGGAGAAAAGGATGAGGGAAAAAGAGTTAAGAGGGAGAGAAGAGGAGATGAAGATAGACGAGAAAAGGATACAGGAGGAGAAACGGACAAAAAGAGAGGAAGGGGAAAGTAGAGGAGAGAAAGATAGAGGTGAGGGAGGAGAGGAAAGGAGAAAATGGAGTAGAGGTGGAAATAAAAGAGGAGAGAAGAGAGGAGGGGGAGAAGGCGAGGGGTAAGAAAGAAGAAAGTAGAGGGGGAGAAAAGGGGGGAATATAGAGGAGGAGGAGAGGAGAAAAGAGGAGGGATAGGAAGAAAATAGAGTTGAGGGGGAAACAGGAGGAGAGAAAATGGGAGGAGAAAAGAGGAGGGATGAAAGGAGAATAAATTATGTGGACGGGGGAATGAAGGAGAGGAGAGGAAGAGAGGAGAGGAAATCTTAAGGTGAGAGGAGAGAGGTGAGGAGACAAAAAATAGAGGAGAGATGGAAGACAATAGTAGAGGAGAAAACAGGAAAAAAGTGAGAGGAGATGAAAGGGGAGAGGTGAAGAAAATATATAGGAGAAAGGAGAAAAGAAAGGAAGATAAACTTGAGGAGGAGAAGAAAAGGGGATAAGACGGGGAGCAAGGTGAGGAGATGGGGAAAACATAGGAGAGAAGAGGAGGAAATGAAGCGAGAGAAGAGTAGAGGAGAAGCAGGGAAAAGGGAGGTGCAAGGAAAAGAGGAGAGGAGAAGAAAAAATAGAGGGAGGAGAAAGGAGAAAAGAAAGGAGGATTAAGGTGACAAGGAAAGCTGAGAGGAGAAGAAAAGGAATAGGAAAGGAGAAAGGTGAGGAGATAGGAGAAATATAGGAAAAGAGGAGAAAAGATGACATGGGAGAGGAGAAGAAAATAGAGGAGAGAGGAGATGAAAGAAGATAGAGATGAAAAGGAAAATTGAAAGGAGACGAAAAGGGATAAGATGGGAGAAACGGGAGGAGGTAGGAGAAAATATAGGAGAGAAGAGGAGAGGAGAATACAGGGAAAGGGGAGGTAGAAAGAGGGAAAACTGAGGAGAGGAGAAGAGGGGAGACAAAAATCAGAGGTCATTGAATAGAGGACTATAGAAGAAAAGGGAGGTGAGAGGAGGTGGCAGGAGGAGCAGTGTGTTAGACAGCAGGTCTGAACATCTCTGTGCTGTTGTTAAATGAACTAATGAGTCTCCTCCTCCTTTAATGATTTCCGCTGCATTACGTGTCTCCGAAGCATCCAGCCGTTTCTAAGATGGTTTATTTTGGACTGCGTCTCTCAAGTTGTTCCCACATGCTCCTCACACTCCTCCTGAGAGTCCTCCTCCTCCTTCTCCTCCTCCTCCTGCTGCTGATCCGTCATGATACACAACAAGCTAATCATTAACTCCTCACGTTAATGACCCATCACTACAGCTCTCTGCAGAGACACACTGTGACGAAGTTGGACTCCGTCTGACCTGTGTCACCTCCTTCCTCCTTCCTCCTTCCTCCTCCTGCAGCGAGACTCAACTCATGTGTACATGATTTGAGTTTATCTGCTGATTTAATATTTCTATATCCCTGTATCTGGTATGAATATGGGCCGAGGCCGGCTGAGCGCTCTCCTCCGAGCTCTTGGCATCCGTCACCTCTCAGTGATGTGATGAGTGCTGACAGATGGAGGCTCTTTCATTCAAACACTGCCCTCTGGAGGGAGAAGACACAAGTTCTTTAAAGGAGGAAGATGAGATTAAATCTTCATTAGCATCTTTAATGTCCAGCAGAGACGAGTCAGGAGCTTTAAGGATTAAAATAAATAAATAAAGTCCGACACATGAAGGGGAATATCCCTCATGCCTGTGTCAATATCTTTGCCTGTCACATCTTGTACCCATTCATTTGTGGCGCAGCGACTCTTCCATAATCATACACATACTCCTTACGCTCCATATACTTTTATACAAGCCTTAAATCAGGGTTTGCAGAGCTGCGGCCAACTGGTTGTCCGTCACAATTTAAAATGGTGTACGTGATTGAGGACAACACTAAATTAAAGTAATGATATTGTAAGATGAGGCTTAAATATCGTCCGTCAACAACGTAACTCTTTTCTCACAAAGGACCAGTGACAACAGCGAAGTCTCGTTAAGTCAAACAACACTGAAACAGTGACCTCTCTGAAGTCCGACCACAATAAAGATCTTCACGATTAATAAATCCTTAAATGTATCTTCTGTTATTCAACAGCTGCCTGCTGCCAAGTTTGTGATGTTGGTACAGTATAATTCCTGGAGTTGTTCAACAGAGAGTACGTTAAGAATTCATATTTCATGTGGTTTTGGTTACAATTAGCGTAAGGTGACCAGATTTCTGAAATGAAACCCAGGGACATTTACAGGTCAGAAGTAAATATATCATCAGTATGATATCCAATGTTATTATATATGAAATAAAAAAAGGGGGATAATTCTGGTTTCATGTACTGCAATAAATTACGGTGCAGGCTGACTGATAAAATAGGATACTAAGTGCCAGAGGGAATGACGTGATTCTGCCAAGTAGGAAATGTTTCTGGACCAACACTGCAATCAACCAATCACAGCCCTCTGACGTCATCAGTGTGCTGCACCTGTGCGTCTTTTAAAATTCCTTTG